GTCTTTCCTATACATTTGCTGCCGCAACGACATGATCAAGAATCGAGAGAACTTCAGCGTGTATCTCGTGTATTTTTCGATCCATTGACGAGGTCCCATGGTTGAAATCTCTGCTCCAGACAGTCTCACGTCGGCCGCACCCGTTTCATGCCAGGTCACCATTTCCGTCAGGCGGTTTGATGGTGATTGTTGACATAAAGTAGTATCGAGCTTGTGACCCTCGGGATTTAGACTCTTGAGAGCTTCCCCAATGACTCTCAATACGGTAACGTACGTTAGTTTCTGCAAGGTGTTATAGGTTTCCTGCCGTCTTCTGTTCAACGCATGGGTACATCTGCATCCGTGGGAAGCATACCATCGAGTGAAGGAGGTCCAGGGATTCTCCAGCACTTTCATTGCCACTACAAGTGAGCCATCGACGCGGGCGAGACGAGGATCTCCGCCCGTGTAGTGTATGTACGTCATCGGGTTCTCAAAGTTCACCCTTAAGCGCCCACTATCTGATCCCATCCAAAGAAACTCAGCAGATGGCAACATGAGATGGAAGTTCGTGCACAGTATACTACACGCTGCCATTAAAACCCCAAAGGTAACCGTGGCTGACACCGAATGTAAGGCTCAGGTTTCCCGAGGGTTTGTCAAGACGGACTCTACTCCGTTCGCCGACAGGCAAGATCCCCACTCTGGCCAAGGTACATGAAACAGGTTCCGTTCGGGTCGATCACCTTCGCTAGGGGAGAACTTCCGCTCATCCGTACATACCGACTTTTGAAAACTGCCTCAAACTCGTAAATACGATGCCAAGGCCAATCCGAGCCAGAGCTGTACCTGTGCATACTTCGACGCTGCTCCGACTCCGCTCGAGGCGGAAATCGCACAGGATGAGCCACGAAGTTGCTTGTGAAGCCACACCACAGTGAATGACGCTCTCTACTGTATTCGCATTGTTGAAGAGAAACTGCGATAGCGCCGCCACTCCAACTCAAAGTTCGATTTCGTAGAATGGATGTCTGAAGATTGTTTCTGATATGCCGATGTTCGTACAGCCCTGAAGCGTAAAAGGAGTACTGATACCCTTAGTGTGTGCGAGAAAGACGCTTGAGAGACTTTGCATTCTACAACACCCGTCTCGAGTGTTTTGGAAAGTGATTCATCTTTGCAGTTTATCCACTTCCTTTTCGCATCAATCTGTCAATCCTTGCTGCATTTAGCAAGTTTGAGTAAGTGCGCCATAGTTGAGATGTATCCGCACTGTTAGGGCTCGGTTGAGTTGTTTGACAATACTTTCTAACGTCTTTGAATTCCGTGCTATCGGGGTACGGTATCGTTCGGTCGCCTCTGCGAGGTCGGCTTATGCCAAGGATGACGAAGAGCGATTGGGTAAGGCCATCAATTCTCCGGCCGTGGCTTTCATTCTCAGATTAAAACTACGCAAGTCCATACCGGTCGGCCCTGGACTTGGCAAAAGCAATGGCCATTCTGAAACGACGGGCACTCGTGCAAAGCGGGTTCCATCCAGCACCTAACACTGATCAAGCTTTAACTTGGGTCCGCCTCGATATGGAGGAGAAGGTGAACGCTGAAACGTACATGGCACGCGAATGACCGTTTGCACCATATGCATGTTGTAGCACCATCACAGGAACTGGCTACTGAAAATTTCAGGGACAGCCTGTAATCTTTGTTCTCTAAAAACCTGAAACAATATTTGAGCGCGACATGATGCTTGCATCTAACGTCTGCTTCACTCACCCAGGTCAGTTGTTTTGTGCTTCCAATCGAGTGCTACCTTGAGGAAAGGTCATGGAGCCATTATATTGGTGACAAGGGCCTCTAGTACAGAAAATATACTTCGGATAATCCTTTTGGTATCCAAATAAGCTCATTTCTGTTAAGAAGATTTGCAAGCGATGTCAACAAGTTCGAGATCTCTGGAACAATCAAGGTTAGAGCCACTGCAATCCGGAGGATAGACAGTAGCGACGCTCTCCGTTCGAAAAGCTCCTCTTCTTTCGTTGGAGTCCCTTCCGATTCGGACATCGCCTTCCTGACGGCAATGCTCATTTCCTTGCTGAATCAGGACAAACAGTTAACAACATCGATTGGATGGACGGCGGACCAGCTTTGAGTGAACATTTGAGTGGTACAATATCACCCAACAGGTCTTAGCGCCGTACTTGGGTGCTGCGGATGTCACTTCACAGCGCATCATGGATTTTAGTATGTACTACGCTCAGAAAACTCGCTCGCACTGCCTTCTGGCGTACTCTCCGAGGTCGAAGCCGGTGTGCCAAGCCTTTCCATGTCGTAAAGCTTCAATTCGAACTTCGAAGTGCCGTGTCTTTGACATGGCTCAAGTCGCTATCACGGTTGGTCGGTAGATGCTGACGACGCTCTTCGGCTTAGGCTCTTCCAATGAGCCCACCCCCTGATACTGTCACGTACCTATAATGAAACTTGACCTCTCCGTCTACATCCAGAGTCTCTAAGCCTGCCAAGCGTCATTCTCTACCAGACGGACGGGCCCCGTTTCAGGGCTGCTCGACATCGATATCATCCTCACCCGTTTCACATAAACAAGGCCTCAATCTCAACGAGGGTAATCATAGGCTCCGTTTTACAGGCTATTTGGAATTTCTCAGTGCAGTGCTGTGCTCTCGATGAAGCACCAGAGATAAGATCAAGAATTTCTAAGATTAGATTAGCGCTCGATGTCAGGGCGATCAAATCCGTTTTTGGTTCCGTTGCCCAATTGTTCGTGCCTGAACGGAACGGAGAGCACCAATGTTCTCGACCCAGATGGCTATGACATGTGGGCGGATGAACTGCTTAACACAAGTTGGTCTCGTGTGGTGGCGTCCGATGAAAGGTTCGCGGCAGGGAGAACCTAGTGGATTCGACATGCAGATTGTTAATCGGTGACAGGAACCAGGAAGTCTGGAGCTGGCGTTTTCTGCGCGTTTCCAAGTGATGTTCGCAAACCCTAAACGCCTGCTTGACCTGGATGTAGCGCTTGGCCGCCGAGGTATCGACATCCGAAACAAAGGGATCAGTACTTACTTGGTTCTTGGTACTCTAGGCGAGAGTCACGACATGGTTAAATGTTGTGCTAATTACTTCACCTTAGGGCTACAGACGTTTGAAGAGTTATCAGTCGCGCTGAGAGGAAGGATATGTATCTGTTGGTTGAGTATTGCCTGTGTGTTTAATCGTACGGTGGAAGCTCGCTCTTCCGCTTGCACACCGATCAGACTCATGAACCTCTGTCCAGGCGAAGATCGACAGACAGGGAGAACATCCGGTATTCAAGGGTTGCCATGATGCGACCAGCTGGTCCTTTTATGGCGTTGTCTGAGAGTTCGATGATACGCCGGGCCCGGCACGAAGACTAGAGTTGGTCTTTTGTGCACGAACGTCGTTGGATCGTCAAGCAAGCAGGGCCCTACATGCTTCAAGTCTCACACGTTGACACAGTCATGCAGGCAACAGTGAGAATTCGAAGGCGCATGCACGGTGGTCCAAGCGAGTTGAGGTAATTGAGAGGGCATTGTTCCCAACGTTAATGTGTCTCTTCCCGCACTGCGCAATGATGCGAGGAAAGTTTTAAGAACTGATGATTGTCGAATGCTTCGCTTGTCAGGAACTGGCTATAGACAAAGATAAACATGGGTTTGAGCGGCGGAACATACCATATGGTTTTAAACAAAGAACAGCGCCTGGAGGAACGCGGGGCGCCCAGAGCTGATGTATGTATACATTAGATGCAAGATGATGATGATGACGACGATAAATGAAAGTGCATATGCTGATTATTGCTCGTGTAACGGATCACTGAACAGTACCTGCGGTATGATGGACGAGCCCTCCGGCGCAGGAATCATGCTAGCAGAACTTGAAGACGGCTGTCACAAGTATGAAGTCTAAGGGACTGTGTTGGACTTCAACTCAGTTCGGGATGCGATAGATATTCATATCAATTCAGTACACGCACATGCACATTGTGCGTGAAGAGAAGCTGAAGGAAGGGTGTCGAATGAGGAAAGGTTGCAGTGAATGGGTGACAATCATCATCACTGCGTAGCCATCATCTTTGCGTAGGGATCAGATATGATGAGGTGCAAGGAAGAGACATTGACACAAGTCATCTCAACTCAGCGGATAAAGGTTTTTACGTCCAGAGAGTGTCTGCTGCGCCCTAATTATCGATTGTAGAAATCTGCTATCCTCGTCTTCTTACCGTGATCATCAGTCCAGGTGACCATGGTTTGTGCAGCCAATCGCCACTCGGGCTTCTCCGTCAACCCCTCCCTGTGAGGTCTTTCGCTCATGCACTCTATGTAACTCCCAGGGCCACCTTCTGAGATCGAGGAGTGATTTATGTCTCTGAGCTCATCAACTGCGAGCGTTCGATTCACTCCTTGGGCAACGTGGGTTTACTCGATGTTTTCGTCGACGGCTGGGGGCCCAGAGACTATAGCTCTGATGCACTATTCGTAAGGGTTTAGCAGAGCCTACAGTCTCGTTGGGCAGGCCAAGGAGAAGCATCCCTTTCTCCAAGTTTTGCGGCCATTGCGTTGACTCGTCAAGTCCTGCTATTTGCTAATCTTGCTGTTGGGGGTACTAGGAGAAGTTCAAAGCTTCAGGGTTGAACAGTTCGGAATCGCCTCGTTTCGACCCTATTCAAAATAAATAGGGAAGACTGTGGTGTAATAGGCATGCAGACCTGACTCCGAACGGACTTGTTGGGTTGAGGCGTACTAGCCAGTGTTGAGAGCAAGGCTTGTATTCCGACCGTTTGGTCCAAGTCTTCGTGCCTCGAACTCAATCTGACTATGGGCGGGCCATACGTCCGGAGCCTTCTAGACATAGCGCTGCTCCTTGGTTCCCCGAACTCTGCAAACTACCAGTCTGTTCTCATATCTCTAGTGAAGATACCGTACTAGAGGATCTACCCAGGCTCATGGTTCCGGCTCAAGAAAAGTTGTGGCTCCTAGGTACCGCTAGCTGGAGAGGATTCGAACCTCTGTCCCTCACTCGTTGTTCATACACGTAAATTGTAGCTTGAGAGGAGAGTGTTTAAGTATTCTAGACCATTGCACTACCAGTTCGCATCTGTATGAACGCGGAGCACGTTGAATTCATGTAGGTGGGGAGGTAGGGTATAGAGTAGACTGTAGAACTCGATGTATATACCCATCTGAGTCTTTGTTGTCGTTGTGATATGGCCGCCAGTCTAGTAACTTGCGTTCGGAAGTGGAGGAGAAGCAAGAAGAAGGGGAGATGAAGCAGACGATCTTTCATGCTTTGAGTATGAGGCTGAGTCGAGAGTGATACTGTACAGAAAAAGTATCAGCGTCGTTTGATTCATGTTCCTGGTCTTGTGTCGCTTGGGGGTAACAAGCTAGTGGTGATTTTGTTTTCTGTTCGCAACTTTGCCTGAGGGGTTGAACGTGATGCAAAGATGTCTTATGCATGGTCTGTTTAGGTGATGCTACGCTGAGAGTTCAAGACGGGTGGTTCAGCGATTGAAGACATGAATACCAGATCTATCGGCATTCATGCGGGGGGAGTTACAAGTTTACCTGGGCGGGCTGTGAATGGGATGGAGCCTATGTTTGTATAGTGTGAATGTCTATGCTAAACGCGAATTGGCGCTCCAGCATCGTATATTGTATCTTGGCCAAGCATGCGAGTAAGGAGAGCCAAAATAAAATGGGCGAATACTTCCTTGAGCGTCGTGCAACTTTCGTTCAACCGCTCAATAACAGCATCTAGAACTTTCGTTAAAAGAGCCTAGATGATAACATTCATAGATTCGTGCTTTGGCCGCGAAGCGGCCCGAGTCGCGCGAAAAAAGCAATGAGGAATCCGCTTGAGCAAGGAGGAGAAGCGAGGATAGTCGATTAGGATTAGTGCAGTGTGGTGGTCCTCGAGCACGCGACTAGTAGATAGATAAGTATCTCGGAATAGATGGCATGAGTGTCAGTGGCACTTTTTTGTTAGTGCTTACGATCATGTCAACGATATAGACGTGAAAAATGTTAAGACAAGAGAGGAGGAGAGATCAAATGCATCATGGAATGAGCTGAGATGTGTTAGAAAGGCGTTCGAGTTGATTAGAAGGACTTAAGGAAGGGCCAACCGAAGTAGTTTAATCTATCAGGAAGAAGGACAAAGAGCACGGTGCTTTTTTCGTTATTTGCTATTTGCTATTTGCTCTTATCGGGACGGTTTGGTTTAGCGAGAGGAAGGGAGGGAGCATGATGAGAGGGCTTTAACTTATTGACAAGGATCTTGCTCGGATCGAACGTCGTCGGGCTGGACGGAACGTGCAAGGGGTACGATGCAATCCGCTCTATTTAAATTCTCTGCTGAACGCTGGGCGTCCCTTTGTACAGGATCCAATCTATACCCTAGCTGTCCAATGTCGTTTGCCATACCGCAGGGCAGATGACGAGCAGTGCGTCGGGTCAGCTTTGGCATTTCAAATCACCCCCGCTCAAACGCCCAGCCGGTTGGTCAGATGCGCTGATGTTCTGATGTTGGATGATGAGGGTTGTACCTGAGCAGATGTGATATCTCCATCGAGATAGATTGACCCTTAATGCCCGAACAGCGTGTCAACGCTGAGCTGGCAGTGAGGAAAGGGAGACTTTCAAGCAAGGAGGAGGAGGATGAGCAGGAGGTGAGCAGGGAAGTGAAGGTGAAGAGTCGATCCTACCAAAGGAGAACGGGAACTTAGGAAGAAGCGGAAGGCAGGGCCTCGTATCGCCGAAGACTCGGAGCGCTGCAGGGTTGAAGAGGCTTTGGAGCATCGTTTCGGTTTATTTCGGCTTGTTGGATTTATTGGTATGGATACTGATGAAATCTGGGGTACATCGTTCGCTGGCACCCATCCCTGCCTCTGCCAGTTCAGCCTCAAAGAACAAGAACAAGGACAGAGGAGGAAGGACAAATTGCGCAGTAGTACGTGCGTGTGTATGTGTAATTCAGACTCAGCCGTCCGCCGTCCGATCCGCTTCCGGTTGCGATGAGAGAGAGAGAGAAAAGAGTTTCCCCACGTTTTGAAGGTTGATCAGGCACCACCAAAAAACACCACCACAACCATCAGTTGTTGTTTTCCCATTCCTTCTCTTTTGCTAACCATCTGCTCTCTCTCTCTTTTGGTGCCTTTTTCTTTTTCTTTTTTCTCCTTCTTTTACTTCCATCCTCTGTTCCGCTCCGCTTCTCTATCCACGCTTGGGCGTCTGTTTGTGTGCCTGGCGTCGGCGGCCAAGGCGGAAGAAACGCCCAGAGGAGACTGTACACCTGATCAACGTGTCTTGTGTCGAAGACAAAGAGGAAAGAAGACAGAAGAATTCAAACGGATCGAAAGAGGACGACCGACGACAATAATCCACATCATCACTTTGCTTCATAACCCCTGAAACCATTCCAAGCACTACAAATCCCATAATAAACTCCCTTACCTTACCTCCGGCGGCAACTACAATAACTTCAGGCACCAAAACCACGTTTCCGCAATCCTATTCCCTTTTCCTGATACACCATTCATCCTTCCTTCCCTTCGTGTGTAAAGGGGGGTTAATTGATTGGGGATGTCAGCAGCCGTTGCAGCATCCCACCAACCACCACCGCCTCATGCAGGTGGTGGTGGTCATGGCGCCGTAGTAGGCGTATCGCCAGTGACGGACAACGAGAGCAATAACAGCAATAGTAACGATGAAGATGTGAATATCGATGATGCGGAGGGAGAGGAAGGACGAGTTGGATGGAGATGGGGATGAGGATATGATGGGTGGTGGTACGATCTCTTTCCCTTTACTCTTCAGTTCCTCCTTTGTGTGCTCATCTTTATCGCGTTGTAGGGCGACAACGTCAGCAGCACCAACAACAGGATCAATACCAAGGTCAAGCAGGAGGAGGAGAAGGGAAGTGGAAATGGGGGAGTACCCCTGTCGGCTGCATGCATGCTGCAGCTGTGAACGCTGCGAAGCGCTATCGTCCTGCGCCGACCAAGACGTTCCAGTGTCGAGGCTTTGGAGAGTGTACGATGGTGCTTTTCGAGGAGCGAGCATTTGGCACGACACATCAGGTGTGTATCTAACATTCTTATATGATCTGTCGTTCGTTCGTTCGTTCGTTCCGTTGGCGTTGGGTTTTACAATTCCTGGGCCTTGAGGATGTTGTTGGCGTTGGCGTTATCTGTCGTTCAAGCCAACCAAATTCATACATCCTTATCTCTCACCTGTCTGTCCCTATCTCACATTTTCCATTATTGTTATCCCTTCCTCTTACTGTGACTAAACCACCCATTTCTCCTCCTTGCAGAAAACACACAGGCGAACGCCCCTTCTCCTGCCACTGCGGCAAACAATTCTCTCGCCTCGACAACCTCCGCCAACACGCCCAAACCGTGCACGCCGACAAGCAAGACCAAAACGAAAAGATGATGCGCGATTTGACGAGTTTGCATGCGACCATGGCCGCTGCGAACAAGGTTGGTGGTGGGGGAGGTGGAGGTGGGGGGAGACGGAGGGGAGGTGGTGCAGCTGGTGCGTTCTTCTATCTCTTTTGTTTCGGCCACTTTCGATTTGGTTCTTTGGGATAAGGTGCTGACGATACGTACAGCAAAAGACACCACGAAAGAGCCAAAGGCGACTGGAGGAGCAGCAGCAGCCAAGGCAACAAGCAGAAGAGAAGGCTCACCACCGCTCGTCATTCAGCCCAAGAAGGAAGATCTGGGTGGTTTGATACCGTTTCATCAACGGCCTGGGACGAGCACAGGGTACGAAGGCGAGATGTATTGGCCTGATGAAGAGTTGGCGCAGAGGCGTGGTGTTAGAGGTACGTTTGTCTCTTACCGCTGGTGGTTCTGGATTGCGTTCTTTTTTGGTTTCGGTTTGGATTGCGAATTGGCTTTTCTGTCTTCAAGCTTCTCGGCATGGGTGGTTCTTCTGTGAAGCTGGCCCTTCTCTGTCTCCAGGCGCCTTTTCCTTGGAATCCTCCAGACCATGGGCGGTCAAAGAGGCCCATTCTCGATTCTTCACTCTCTCTTTGCTTTGTTTTGCTTTCCTTCCACCCTACGTGCGGTTGTGGAAAGAATCTTTGTTGCTTTTGCCTTGGGATGGTCTGGTGTCCAGTTTTCATCCGTTGTGTTTCTGTTGTTTTGCCTGGGGTTTGTGCTCCCCCTTCCTTTCGCCTTTTTTTTGTCTGCCCTCGATTCTTCGTTTCTCCTCTGGCGATTGGGCCTTTCTGGCCTCTCGGGACCACATGCAATTAATCGCCGTCGTCGTCTCGTCGTCTTCCGGGCACGGTCTCTATCCTTCTCAGATTCGAGGATTCACTCTGCTGTTGATCTCCTTTCCACCTTTTCTTTCATTCGGGTTTCAAAGGGCCAATATTTCCCTCTTCGCCACTTTGGTTGATGCTCGAGACATTCTCAACCTAATTATCGCCTCGAAGCGGAGTCTTGTGTTCGTTTTGGTTTCGGTTTGAATCTTGTTCTTTTCTTTATGGTATTGGATCATGGTTTGGACTACAGTCGTTGGCCTTTCATTCTCAAGTTGGGCTCGACGACTGGCTTGTTTGCGAGGCGTCATAACACGCGTTCATTCATTCTGCACTTGCATAGCGTCTTCCTTCGCTCGATTTGGGCTGTTTTCTGCTCTCAACTCTAGCCCATGTGGCACACCTTCCGTTCTGGGTGTTTCCTCTGCACAACTCACTTTCTATCCTTGCTTGTTCCCTGCTCTTCTCTTCAAGGAGTGGCATGATTGGACGGGATGCTAATCTTTTCCTCTGCAGGTATCCCTCCCCGATCTGGCGGAGGGAGTCATTCCTTTCGAGACCCCCGAATCAACCAGTCCTTTCTTGCCCCAACCAACGAACAACGCTCAGCTGGAGGACCCTCAGCCCCCGGCCAGTCCTTTCGAGTCTTTGGACGAGAATCTCAACAACAGCAACCATACCCCAATGGACGATTCCACGCCGATCGGGATCGACCCAAGACATCCATCGACCCAGCATCAGCATCCATCTCAAGGACATCCAGCAGAGAACACCATGACACAACACCTGTATACCTCGAGCGTCCTCGAACCTCGGC